TTTCTAATATTTGACGAAACATGATGTTTTATTCTATCATCCAATCTTTGGGTGGTGCGTCTACGTAGCCAGATATCACAGTGGCCACGTAAATTCATAAGCACGGAACTTCTTTGTGTGGCAGAACGCAGTCCTTTTGAATGGACGGAAGGGTCTTTTTCGTACTATAAACAACACGTGGGTTGACCACAAAGGAACAATTTGAAATGGCCTGTTTTATTTGGCTTTCAAAACGTCGGGAACTGTCACCGATCCAGGGTAGTTTGAGATAGACCGGGCACTTTTGAGGACCAAATTTTACGTCAACCGAGAAATTTCTTATCTTCTCCTTAAGGGCCTCTCCAGCCCAAAAATTTTTATTTCATAATAAGATGTAATCAGACCTTTTGAAAACGAATCTTTTATTATTTTTCATATCCCTATCCATTTTGTAGTTATTAGCGTTTGTAAATTGGTCATTGAGTTGAATTGTTTTCCAACCGTGATATCGGAGTTCTTCGGATTGAGGTCACAAACATTGTCGGCCTCGGTAAGTTCGCAGCAAGTATCGTCGGCTGTCCAAAGCGTCAACGAGAACGTAGCGATATGGCAGACAGGGCCTAACAGCGGCATGCTTGTTAGAAGGCCAGACTTTATATCTGGAATTGATATAAAGAGACAAGTATCGTCGATCAGTCTTGATATTCAGATCGAATATGGAAGTATTATATCGCACGAATCTGTCTGACAGAGCAGTCAAATTTTCAAAGTAGCCAGTGAGACAGAAACATGAGGATGTTGAAGGTCTGTATAATGGAACGTTGCTTTTGATGCAGTCTGTTTTGGCAGGCCAGTTTTCTGATTTTTAAAATAAGATTCGCGCTTTTTCATCAGCTCTACATTTAGTGCAATAGCCAAAAAAGCCATCACACAATTTATTCGGGAGGAAAGACCTAAACAAAACCAGTATACCAGATTGATACAATAGATTCATCAGCATAAAAAGCTTCATATCAATATGAATTATTGGAAATAAAACAGGACAATCAAGGACATGGACATGGAAGTATATTATACAAACAGGACTAAAAACCTACCATTAGTCATGAGTCAAACAACTCTTTCAATAATTATAAATTTGTTCTTATATATATTGACAAAAAAGGGATTTGAGATTATATAAACATTTAATCTTTTTCAATATAGTTGTGTAAAAATAATTTTTGTATTGAATCTTCAAGCTATTGCGAGGAAGTTATAAATATATATACAATCAGGCCAGTGAACTATTTTTGAAATTAAAATAGTTAGCAAATTTGTAATTTAAATTGCCCATGAGAAATGTTCTTATAAAAGAATCATGAAACAATAATCTATTGCAAAATTTATAGAAAATACCTATATGTTGTTACTAGTTTAAAATAATAGCTGTGGATTTGCAAAATTTATATAGATATGACCAAATTATCTATAAAACTTTGATAATTTCAAAAATATTGGCCTTTATAAAAGTTTTAATACAAAAAGAGGACAATGTGTCAAGGTCTTTGTGGTAACTCTTGTAGGGAAAAGAGGGGCAAGTTATCACTCCCCCAAAACCAAAAGCCAGGTAACAGGATGCATGTAATCTCCAACCTTCATCTAGCATTTTTGGCAAGATCCTTTCTGTTGATCCATAAAAGAATTTGTTACCTTTTTATGCCTAGAATAATAATGTTGACAGGAATCTAACTAATACCAATGTGCTAACATGCAAATGAGCCCGAGCAATGGATCCACACCGCCCGCTGCTGACCTCCCTTCCCTGCCCAAAGGGCAGGGCGGATTTCCTCGGATAAGATTTTCAATCGAAGCTTGGTGATTGATCTACCCACATTAGTGTAGTACGTCTTTTTTGGTGCTTCGGTTCTCAAGATCTTTTGCCTTTTCTCAGGCGGAAATGTTGTTTCTGAGGCAGAAAAGTTGCTGCTTCTTCTTACGGTTTGATTCGCTGATCCATACAATGGAACAAAGGGCACGTGATTCCACGAGCCAGTCGATGCTGAAGCTGCAAGAAAGCAAGAGAGCTTCTTTCTACCTGTGGTCGAGTAGGGTTGTTCCGTTCCATTTCGTTGTTGGTCGTCCTTGGGAATGGTTGCTTGCTGCCTGCCTGCCTGCCGAACGGTGAGTTTGAAGCTTGACGTTTTCGTTACTTCTTTCTGTTATTGCTCTGCTCGACGAATCGTCCGGTTCAGTTGCGTCTTTCGTTCGTTACCTTTATTAATAACAAACGCGTTCGTTTTTTTTAAACCCCTTTTTAGAAATTGCAACGACAAATTGCTGGTGGTTCGCCTTCTTCCGTCTTTGCTGCCAGAAAATCATGCGTGTAAGTAAAGTTTGAATTTTTTATTGCTGTCAAATGGAGTAGCAACAATCGCGTTTTTTAAATTTTGTCTTAATGTTTTGAGTGTTTTTCCGTTGGAAGCAGCCGAGGCGATCTTGCCCCTACCATTTATTTCATTGTAATTGCCATTTGAAACAACTGTTTGATTTGCATGCGATACGCGGTATCATTACTTAAAGAACCTCAAAGAAACACTTTTATTCTGTTTGTATTGAGAAATATTGTCAGCAATTTTTTGTTTTATCGTGCCCCCGACCCTCCGTGTCTGAAATTCACTCTTTATGATCAGGGGTGGCTTTCGTTTCACCCTGTTTGTTAGTTATTTGAAAGATTGATCGTTTGTAGTTGAACTGCATCTTTTGATAACGTGTTCCTGTTTACCCCTTTTTAGAACTGCAACAAATTCATCCTCTGCCTGCCTGACTGATGCCACAAAGTCGTGCAAGTAAGTAATGTTTTTATCATGACTAAGCTTTAAACTTCTTCAATGTATCTTCGGCACTACTTGCGAGAATCGTGTGTTTATCATTTGTTGAAAGTTTTGCGTGTATTTTTTTTGAAACCAGGCGACCTTGCCCCTGTCATGAATGGAAATATCCAGGTTTTGCCCCTAAACTATTTCAATCTTCTCTATTTTTCGCTGTTTTTGTAATCAATGACAAAAATTGCATAAACTGAATTAATAGTTTAGGATTTCATTTAGTTTTACACAATTTGTAGATGGTAACTAGCATTTGTTGTTAGGAAAAGTTTATGTACTGTCGTGCATTTCTACAATGAATTTCTTGACCCATCATGACCCCTTTAAGTTGATCGACACAACAAACATAGCGTGTTTCAGAATGCCAGTAATAAACTCGCCATCGGTAGGTGTGAACACCACCCAGAAAGGCATACCGGAAAACAAGGACCCAGGACCTTAAGGCAGGACCCAGGACCCAGGACCAGGACCAAGGACCAGGACCGAGGACCAGGACCCAGGACCAGGACCGAGAATCAGGACCCAGGACCAGGACCAAGGACCAGGACCGAGGACCAGGACCGAGGACCAGGACCGAGGACCAGGACCGAGGACCAGGACCGAGGACCAGGACCGAGGACCAGGACCGAGGACCAGGACCGAGGACCAGGACCGAGGACCAGGACCAAGTCTTATTTCTGACTTTGTGTGAAAAACGAAAA